CAGTTGAGGATTTCACACCAGGGCCGGCTTAAAGGATCTAAGGGCAAATATATACAGGGTGTCCGCAAAGTTGGGATTTTCCTTTTCAGACACAACGACGCTTGATATAACAAATCAAATATATGGTGAAACGTGAGCGAACAAGTAAAAAAAAACTAATGAAAAAGTACTCACTGTTAGTACGGCTTCGTTTTGATTCAGGTTTGATTGAGTTTGCGGAGCACAATATCTCGGTTCTCTTAAGACATTGGTATATATGCTACTAAAAAATCCGCTTATTTTCTCAAGTCTTGTAAAGGAAAACCCCTACTTTGCGGATAACCTGTACAAAAACGAAAAGATACACATTAATCACAAAATCTGGGGAACTATCCAACCTATGAACGTGCCATTTGGTAGAGACGTCGTTCATGGAAAAAGAATGTCCAGCTGAAAACGGATCCAGCAACAGGGCAATAGTTAGAAGGCGAATGGCGAATACATCTCGGAAACTACTTGACCTACAAACTTGTACTTCAGCAACGTTGGGGTTCTATTCAGAGTGGACTTAAAGAATGGAGTGTGGAATTTGACACAGCGGTAGCTTTTACAATGTAAAATAGAGTTTAACTTAAAATGCTAATTTTAAAAAAATGACGGTATTAGGAATTTGTTAGATTTCCGCCCTGTGATTTTACCTCGCAGCTTATAGGTGGTTCGATCAATAAAATAACCAAATTTCCAAAGCATGCAAATTAACTGTCACTCAACCTTTTCAATACGACTTTATTTTGAAAAGGAAGGACGTAGTTTTACGGTAGGGACAAATGGGTCCCAGCAAAAATCGGCATTCGAAATACGGCTTTTATTTTTTTTCTTATAATAATAATAATAATAATAATAATAGCGTTAATTGTCCAACAGTTACACCATTTATAGGACAATTACATAAGCACAATTAAATAATATTCAGTGGTGTTAAAAAAAAAGTTATTTCAAATATGAATAAGCCATTCTAACTGCTGAGTTAAGCGAACAAGTAAATATATCACAATGACAGCTAATACACTACACTAGATGTTTACACATAACATATGTAGGAGATTTGACTAACACGTTGGTCCTAGCCCTTGATAGCTTAAAAGTTACATAGTTGCGTGAAGAGAACGAAGGAACATTGAAATTGATCTGTGCCAAAATGACTGGGGAGTCAATAATGCTATTTAGCAGTTTAAAAAGGAATATGGCAGATGAAACTTTCCTTCTGCATTCTAAACTATGAATTTCAAAACGCTCACATAGTTCCATATTGCTGATGCCTTGCTCAGGGTAAACTCCTTCAGATTTGAAGTATAGAAAATTTTCTTTGGACGCTCTCAATATCATTTATATAAGTTTGGTAATACGGATTCCATACAACACTCGCATATTCTAGTTTTGTACGTACATATGTGAAATATAAGACTTTTAAGGCCCTTAAGTTATCAAATCGCTTACAGTTCCTGACAATGAAACCGTAAGACTTCCGAAACTTTCCGCGAAATATGAGTAGTAAATGTTAATTTATGGTCATATATAATACCCAAATCTTTGACTATATCGCTTCTTTCCAGCACCACACCATCGATATTATAGTTGAATACACGAACATTTTTCTTTCTGCTATAGCTAACTACTCTGCACTCACTTATATTTAGATGTAATTTATTGAGATCGCACCAAATCCTAACACTACTTAACTGCATCTGTAAATCTAAGCAATCCTGCACGTCACTGATTGATGAATATATCTTCATATCATCTGCAAAGCATAACTGTTGACCATTCATACTTTCACAAAGATCATTTATGAATAATAAAAATAACAATGGTCCCAAGTTGGACCCCTGGGGAACACCAGATGGGGCTAAGTAGGTTTCAGATTTGAAGCCATTATATTCAACAAATTGTTTTCGCTCTGACAAATACGACCTGAAGAATGTTATAGCGCTAAGTGAGAGACCAAAGTGACCAATTTTCATCAACAAAACCCCATGATCAGTTTTGTCAAATGCCAAATCCGTATAGATCACATCAACTTGGCAGTTATCATCTAGAGCTTCTGAAATATATTGGGTTAAAATATCAAATTGGTGACTGTAGATCGGTTGCTGACAAAACCGTGCTGTTTTTGTGATATTTGATTTTTTGTTGAAGGATACAAGCGATTGTTGTTGAATGCTTATAAGAGAAATTGGACGATAATTCTCGACATCTGATTTTTCTCTATTTTTGAAGACCGGACAAACTTTGGACACCTTCCATATATTCGGGAATATATTAGATTTTAAGCACATGTTGAATAAGAGAGTAAGTACAGGAAAAAAAGCTCTAGCACAGTCCTTTACAAGGAACGAAGGAATACCATCAGGACCCGAAGTCATCTTATCCTTTAGGTGACTAATGGCTAAAATAACTTCGCTATCCTGGATAGGAGCTAAAATTAGATGGCTGTTATGGTTACGTGCTCAACGATATCAACGTTTAGGTCTGATTGGTGGTAAACACTGCTGAAAAAGTTAGCAAATACATTGACAATCGACTGAGGCTGACAGTACGTATTATTTTGATACTTCGTTTCGCCAGGAATTCGTGATGTACTATTTTTCATGTTCGTGAACGCCCAAAATTTCTTTGGATTGCTAACTAAACTATTCTAAACATTCTCCATGTAGATATTATACGCCCTCTTTATTTGAGATTTGATTGAACGGCGCAGTCTCTGAAATTCTTCAAGATCTGACTGATGTCCAAGCTTAGCAAACCTTTTCCTGTATTTAGCTTTTTGTTTAATACTTTTAATAATATTGGAATTATACCAAGGTGGATACTTGTGACAATAATTTTTGTATACAGGTATATGAGTATCAAAAGTGCTGTACAATTTTTCATAAAAACGATCTACTGCGATATCTATATCATCAGAATTCACAGTCGAAGTCCAATTTATTGATAGAAGTTCTCTATACAGTGAAGGAAAATCGGCTTTTCTAAAATTGTATACCTTATTCGTTAAATTGTAGCGAAATTTAGCCTCCCTTGCAAATAAATTTGGTATACTAATTAACAGTGCCGGATGATGGTCATCCTCAGGCACCATAGGCGTGGTGTCATGAGCTACTACACAAGAGTAGTGAGATATGACCAAATCAAGCAACCGATTTAATCCATTACGGACGTCGTTATACTGTCTGAGATTAAACAAGGTAAGTACAATTTCTGTCTTAGCATCAGAAGGGTTGTTCACAACAAAATGCGGGACATTAAAATCACCCACTAGGATTGTGCTATTGTTGTTTAAATTATCCAGTTGCTCAAAACACTCAAAAAATGACTCAAATTCCTCAAGTCCTATTTTGTCAGGCACATACAAACTAGCTATATAAAAAGTTTTAAATTCTACCTTACACTTAACGATTAGCAGATCAATATACGGAAAATGAGTATAGTGCTAAGACCTTATCCACAGAACAAATACGAATGGATTGAATAAATGAAAACAATTTTTTTCTTTATTAAGTAATAAACAAAAAAATACAAAATGGGATACATTTGACCGAACACTACGGAAAAATGGATGCAAATATCCCCCTAGTAATAAATATTTATAGTAAAAAATGTAACTTAAACGGAAATAACGAATTTTCAACATTTAAGTGTAAAATGATTGGAAACAGTCATTGCACAAGGGAAGGTTACATCCTGAACACATAGTTTTTTCTTTTTTCCACTGATTATTAAATACTGTTTGGCAACCTACTTTTCCCATTTTTTTCTTTTTAAACTGTGGCGGGCTCCTTTTGATTGACATAGATGTCTCAACAGCAGCAAAATTAGCAATTAAATTCACAGTCCTGAACAAACGATCAAAACACATACCGTTTGGACCATTTATAGAGCTGTATAACGGTGTCAGCATCGCATCTGTCCTAAATCTTTATTGGTTTCAACAGAAGATATTGTTTTAGTGAGGACGATCTTTAAATTTCGCCATTCACTCATCTATACTTTGAAAAGTACCGTCAGATCGAGCTTTTATGTTGTATGTTTGAGACACGACATAAATGAGTTTGATGGATTTTCTGTTTTTCTTTTAGGATGGTTATAATACATTGTTGATGTAAGAAGAAAAATCTGTCTCGAGAGATGGCATTTTTGAAAGCCGTATTTTCAAGTGATTTGTTCGACGATCAATAAGTAATAATTAGCCAAAGATGGTACTTTGTTGTATGCCATGACAAAATAACAACTAATTACCAACATCATTCCGTGATAATCGGTGGAAATATATTGCTTTTTTGTCTTCTCTTGTAAAATGGTTAGCCTTTCGTTAGTACATCCAGCCATAAAAATAAACAAACTTGTGGGAACTAGTTTCAAAAAACACACGAGTTCAGATGATTTGTGAGTAATATCTGCATGTGCGGCAGGTACACTTCTTTGAAGGAATAAATGAAGATATATACTAGTGCTCCAGTGAATATTAGAGTTTTTACTGATGGGGTTAGGCTCTACCTCAATCTCCTCAAGATCCGACGATGAATTAGACTCGACGCTCAGAATTTCATCATCAGGGTAATCGTTTTTAGTTTTCTGTTGGCTGTTCCCGTACGACAAAACCCACCTTACGACTGGGACAACGGATAATACGTTTTAAATTGACATATCACACAATAGTATTTTAAAACATTGGTATGGGACAAATTTGTCTCTACAGTAATCTGAATGCATTTACTGTTATTAATAATGCGTAATTAGATGAAGGAATTTTTGCTGGGACCTATATAGCCCGTTAGTAATAAACTGGTTAACAAATGCAACACACTTGAAGAAATACTCAGAAACAATATTATATGTAAGTAATAACTTAACGCGTACAAAGTCGCGGGCAACCTCTAGCTAATGTAATAAATTGCATAATAGCAACCAGTGAACTGAATCGCTATGTCTTATCAATTATAACCCGTTACTCGCTACACATTCTTCTTTCATGTATCTCAATGTTGGACCATGGCGTGGCGTCTAGAGCAAAGACCGGAAACCGTAGAAAGCCTTTCACTATCTTCCGATTTGGTCACGCCTAGTCCGTGGTATAAGAAGACAAAATATCGGATTTGCCATACCAGTTCCGATACGCTGACAGACAGAAAATGAGAGTTGTTCTTGTAAGTGGTTTGTTATTATTGCATTCTGTGAAGTGTAGTTATGATGTGCATGATATTTGGATTATACCTTAATATGGTGAGACGGCGGAGTTGTGGGGTTGAGGGGTTATTGAAAGAGTGGTCCTTCTCAAGGGCTGTTATAATGTGAAATTTGAAGGATATCGATAACATAAATAGAGAGAAACGAACGAGAAGTTGGATATAAGCCTTCTTAATACCTATATATATTGACATAAGATCACACGGGTTGATTAGTTGAGCTGAACTTTATGTATTTCTTGAAAAAATCCAAAATGGTATAAATGAAGTAGTATCTAAATAACTGAAGGGCGACAAATAATGTAAGGAAATGCCTATCCGAATACAACTTGTTCTGCTTCTATCCTCCTCTATAATATGGACCCAATACCATGGGAGGTAAATGTAGGCTGTGTCTGCTTTGGACCAGGGTTTGAACAGTATATGCAGTTTTAAGAGTTGTTGACTTATTTAGATCATACCCAAACATTTTATTCTATATCATTTCAAACTTTCATTTAGAATGGTTGCTAGTTACTTAAACAGGTAGAACCACTAGTTTTCAGCTTGCGGCTTCGCGAGTGTACGTTAGACTCCGATTTTATCGTGAAAATTATACAGTGCTTTTTGAAAAGGTTCTCCCCTGCTTATTCTTTGAACGGGCTGAAGTGGAAACCCCTACCTTTGGAAATTCTTAACTGACAGGCTGTAAAAATTGGGCCTTTTTGTACAATGAGTCACTCATAACTCAACAACCTATGCTTAAATGTGTAATAAAATATTCCATTGGAAGAATTGTCAGAATCTGGCAAACCAAATGTCCCATGTTCTGTTGTACATTCAAACAGATATTTCCAAGATAAAAAATATTATAATCTTCCCAGTCTACCATTTGAAAAACAGTGATTTTATATTCTGGAGGTATAAAACGTTCATGAAGGCCTACCACATGACCTCCATTTCAATTAAAAAAAAGGATTAAGCTGTCACAAGGTCACCGTTTTGAGTGTTTTTCGATTAGGTTGAAATATAGTATGTGTGTCAATTTCATCATCTCGAATTTCAGCTTGTCTAGCATTGAATATATTGTAATACTAACAAAAGACACAACAAAATGGGGAAATTCTTTTCCTTTTTTCATCTTTCTGTGGATTGAATTTCCAAAGATTCTGGATCAAATCAGTTTGTGTTGTTGACTGTACAAAGTTTCTGGTGAATCTATTGAAGGAATTAAAAAATGCGTACACACGTTTCACCACCAATTGCTAAAAATGTTGAATAACAGGTTTTTATGTGTATTGAGGTACTTGTATTTGTAAAATGTTTCAGGTAGATCCAATTATAGAGTAAAAAGTTTCATACAAACCAACACCGACCTACCTATTCCACTACTGAGTGGGATAAATAACAAAAATTCAATTTTCTACGTCTAACGGTTTTTGCTCTATATTTAGAGGTTATATGTTATGAAGGAATGAGAAGCACCAGTTCGTAAGGATGTGGGCGGCATTATTTTTTGTGTTGTATTTCACCTTTAATGACTTTCATACTATCTACGATACCAAATTGCTATTATTCACATTTCCAATTATGCGTGTAGCACTCTATTAATATGTTCCACGAAACATGCGTTGCAGCCAGCAATTATCGTAGTGATCCAGTTATTCCAGAACTCGGCTGGCAGGGCAGAGCCCTATCGTTATCTTAATGATGCGAAATACATCAATAACCAATCATTGCTAACCATTGTAATGACGTCATCGGGTACTGTAGCGTATATTTGGTATGCATGATTTCTGGTTCGGTTATGGACATTTAGCGTTTTAGCTCAAAATATTACGCTCAAAAGTAAGGTACGTGTAGGTCAAGAAAATAGTGTGTGTACTAATAAAGGAAGAACGCAAAATGAAAAACCCACAAAACCCTTGACTATTTGCATCGAGTTGACAGTTGAAAGTTAAGCTCGGGATCAACCTTTTATTTCAACAGAATTTCTAGTGTACTTAAATTTTGTAAAAATACTGTATGAGTTACTTGAATTATTGTTAATATTTGCACTTTGTAACATTATGTTAATTGTTCGTGAGACCTGTGTTCTAAAAACAGATTAGAGAAGTTTGTCAACGTAGAATTTGTAAAAATTAATTGGTACATAAGGATTATCTTCAAAATAAGTAGATAAAGGAATAGTCGAGATATGAAGACATGTTGTAACCATTCTCGAATTTTAACGTTTTAAGGAAAATAATGCTTTTGGTCTGTACCCGGTTAACATTGATACTATTTCCTAACGAATTCATTAATTTTACCATAGATGCCTATTAATAGACAAAAAAAGCATATACGTACTGTTACTTCAGTTCGGCATATACCATCATATATCTTTACAAATATACTAAATGACCGACGAAGTAATTAAAAATATTATGTGTGATTACGTGTATCTCTTATAGTTCCTGCTATCTCCATTGCTTTGCTTATAAATCAAAACACAGTGTCTGTGTGGTTCTAAGCAAGAATACAGTAAGTACGAGGCATTTACTGTATTTGAATTTATTGATGTGCAGATGCTGTAGTCTAATTGATGGTGATAGTTAAAATGCTAGATACTGTAAAAGAAAAATATTAGATTTTCGGTATTTATCATGATATATACTGTATTTTATCATCGAAATTGTAATCGTGTCTTTCATAGTATAATGAAGATATCTTATTTTCGCATTTTTTGCACTTACTGCGTTATGGCTTATGACGGCGATATATCGATCTGCATATGAAAAAGAGTGCCCCATTGTTATAAGATATCAGAGGTATTTGGAATAACGTAATTTCAATATTTGGAAGAAATATAGCTTCTAAAATTCAGAAATGGACGTCAGTTCAAAGAAGTCTGTCTTAGAAACACATCAAGGTCACGATCCTCATTACAAAAAAAAATATTCTTGAACCAAGAGCACACTTTCTTACGCAGCTTCAGTACAATAGTTTCGCATATAGCCTGGTGAAACTTTATGTAAATCATGATGAATACTAATTTACTTTATTATGTGTAACATCAAAAGGTTTCGCAGCGTACTCCTGTAGGCCAATTTTGTTATCTTGGGTAACACTTTTCATCAACTAAATTGCTTGCTAAGCATTCCTATCATTTTAAGTCTTAAGGGCACATGTGCTAGGAAAACTGTGTGAAATACGGCTAATATGAGCGTAGAATTACCGGGGCTAGAAGCGTATACATATACTAGCGTCAGAAGACTCAGATGTTGTCTTTCCCATCCCCTACATCCCCAACTGCCGATTTTTTAATTCTCGCAAAACAAAGTCTGCGCGATATTTATTTTACTCCTGTAGCTCCGCTGCCACTGGACCAGTTTACAAACACTACAAGCCTTTCTCGTCCTTGGCAAAGTGGTAACCTTGTGTGAACATTTGGTCAAAATCCTGGCATCGTGACGTACATGTATAAAATTAAAAAAAATCTCTACTTTCCAAAATCTCTGGCTATTACATCATTTTTTTTAATCTAAATCAACATTTTATAGACGCTTTTTACAAATAATTCGGCTAATAGATGGAACAGCGGATTCAATTTCCGGAGAACGAAGTTTTACGAGCATTGATAAACGAAACGATTATCAGTGACGTACCTCAAAATTTTTAAAAAGGGGTGTTAGGTCAAAAAGAAGCATTTCATTGATGAGATATAATGTTAGTGTATATTTAAAAGATTAGATAGACAAGCCAGTTAGTAACTACACATCAGCTGAGCGTTTTTTGATATTGTACCTTGGAAGAGATGCTGTGACAGCTGATACGCTAGTAAAAAAATCACCATTGATTAAAGTTTTTCAGTTGAAGATAGCTAACCTAATATCATACTTCGTGTCAAAAAAAATATCCCAGATGAATTAAGATACCATGGTGTCATCTAAGAGAATTTGTCACAGCGGCTTCTTATCTCCGCTATACTTAAAAATCTCTGCTTTGACAGGTTTAGTGTCTCATAGATGGCGCTGTGATGAGCTATACTAAGTGACATATAAATCCGAACACCCAGTTTAAATGGTTTTATTTTAATAAAATTTTGTATAAGTCCTTAATGAAGCATAATAAGTAAATGATAAAAATTTCAAAATGATTGCACTGCTTTAAAGCCCTTTGACCTTTAATAATGTGTGGATGCACCCTGATGTGCTACGCATTCTCCAATGCGCCTAGGCATGCTTCTGATCAGGTGGTCAATGTCCTCCTGTGGTATCTCATTCCAGGCAACCACCAACTCCTCTCGAAGTGCTTCTAGAGACTGAGGAGAACGTTGCAAATTGAGCAATCTCCTACCCATCATATCTCACACGTGCTCAATTGGGGATAAGTCGGGAGATCTTGGTGGCCATGGTAACAATGTGACATCATTATGTTGAAAGAAGTCTATTGTGACTCTTGCAACATGTGGTCGGGCATTATCTTGATGGAAAGTTGTATATGCCAGGGTGTCAAGATAGGGTAGAAGGTGGGGTTCTAGAACTTCGTGGATATAACGCTGCGCGTTCATGTTATCTCTGATGAAGATTAAAGGTAACTGGTCAGTACGACCGCTCCTTTGTCTCTAGGGTGTCGAGATCGTAAAGCAATCGTCGCGGTGATCCGGCACTTATTTCGCTGCTTCACTATAAAAGAATGTCCATGTCCCAGTAAAGTGCCATCAGTCTAGGAAAGCGACGTGTGCCTATCAAAACGACTTGTTGAACTGTTGTTTAGCATCCTTCTGTAAGCCCGTTACTGCCACTGGACAAATATGCGGATTACAAAGCACTAGGCATAAAATTTCATTCAATCAGATTGATAAACATACTAACAACGTGGGTGAACGGCTCTGTCAGACCGGCCAACGGACAAGCAATGAAATCAAGATAAACACCTGTAACTGACAACCGAGGTACATTTTTATACAATTTTTCAGTTTCTGGTTGGCTAGGCAAGAA